TAATTTGGTGCTACTTAGTTTTTGCAAATTTGCCATTTTACAAATGCAAGGTAATATAATTCCATTTAAAAGTAATTACGCCAAGTAATTGATTTATTCTGCAAGTATTATAATATTTCAATATAGTAATTCAAATAAATTTAAAAATGCCAAGTAATATGATTCCATTTAAAAGTAATTACGCCAAGTAATTCATCTTTTCTGCAAGTATTGAAGCACTCTAGATCTCTACTAATCAAGATTATAATTCTATATTATATATTGTTCCAGTTATCAAAAACTTAATTTTTCATATTTTTCATATTTCCAAGATAATAGTTGTTAATTTTCATAAAAATAAAACATATTTACAAAACTTTTTTTGGGCATGGGGAGACGGCTATCTATCAATAAAGAGCTTGTGTAATTGTGTACAAAAGAAACAACTAACCATTATATTTTACTCCATCGTTTCCAGATTCACTCTCATTTTCGGTATTATCATAATCCACATCAAGTTTATTGTTGATTCTCTCTGCACACTCCAAGTATTCGACATAAGTCTTTTTCCTGGCATTCTTTGGAGACACTTCAGCACCCAACTCCTCGATTTCCGCTTCAATTTTTAATGGTTTTACGTTCCATATTACAGTATGATTATACTACAATAGTGATTAGATAATCCATATATGGTGTACGAATAATTTTTAAGTATAGATATATGAATAAACGCACAGAGCACACCGCGTCTCGAACTCACAACCTAGTGGTTACGGCACCTAATCGCCTAGCCTGAGCGTTTTACAGAATTTATATAATCGTCCGACCTCCCCAAGATGCAAAAGTTAAAGACTGTGTAAACCAAGCTTCCACAGGACAGGCGGTATAGTGTTAAGATAAGTTATTGTCCTGGCTTATTGGATCTGTCAACAGACTTTTAATTGAAATGCTAGGACAGACACTGTTCTCTGTGATATAAACCAGATTTAACTTCTTAAATCACATTTAATCTTACAAAGTGATTTATTCGGCATTTAAGTCAATTTTTTATTTATATTTTTTTTTCTATTTAGATCCTATGTCATGAACAAACTAAATGGGTTGGGGTACAATGAACATAGTTTATTGGGGTTGCTATGGCAACCAATTGTACCAAACCCCCAAACCCATAATGTAACTACAAACTGTCACTAACAAATGTCACTCTTTTCCAGCCTCCTGCGTAAGTAAACTAGCCATTGTCCACCTACTTTCCATGGGTATATCAATATAACGCTCCCAGGCGTTCGAGCGCCAATCGCCTTGTGATTTAATGAGCAGTGGGGACGCTCCTGCTATAAACGCTGTACAGGCCCCTCCTCTCCTAAACGAATGTCCAGAATAATCTGCAGCATTAAATCCTGCACTGTCTAAAGTGCCTTTCAGCATCTCACTAAATTGTTTTTGTGTCATAGTTTTTAGCGCCCCATGATGCATGTAAGACGCTAGAGGCAATGCTGATAAATTCTCGTATTGTTCCTTCCTTGAACATAGCATATCTTTAATTGCCTTAACTGGGCATAATAAACCACCTGTCGTGAGCATTGGTATTTTTAAGTCTCTCTCTGGCTTGAATTGTTTTAGTGCGTTTAATTGTAATAATATATCCTTCTTTGTTGAAAGCCAAGTCACATGTTGACACATCCCTATTCGCATCATGCTGGCCAGACTTAAGCAGGAGAGTAGATTTTCTACATAATCACGCCCGGTGATCGTAGAATTGGGACGGAGGGGGGGAGCAGGCAATTTCTGCTAGAAATTTCAACAAATCTGGAAGATTTATTTTTTAAAGAAGAAGTTTACATTTGAATTGCTAAATAAATAGGCTCACGGTATTGTAAAATATGTTAGGTATTCTAGGATTTTTTTTCAATCGATACTCTTTTAGGGTATAAGATCTATTAAAAAAGGCGCAACGCACCAACGTGCAAAAGTCAATGTTGTTGCTATAAATGAAGCAACAATGGTGTACATGACCTGTAATAAATACTTGTAAGTGACATCATTGTCACAAAATTAATGTTATTGCTGACTTTGTAAAATAAGTTTCCATAGGTGAAATAAAAAATAATCGAAAATAATTTTGGGACGGAGGGGGGGGGGAGCAATATGTATTAAGACATGATACATATTGCTCCCCCCTCCGTCCCATAATTATTTTCGATTATTTTTTATTTTACGTATTGAAACTTATTTTATAAATTCAGCAATGGCATTAATTTAGTTATGATATCATCACTTACAGGTATTTAATACAGGTCGTGTAGACCATTGTTGCTTGATTTATAGCTAAAACGTTGATTTGTGTCTGTTGATTGCCTCGCGCCTTTTTTAATAGATCTCATATCTTAGATGCCTATCGTTTCAGAAAAAATCCCAGAAGACCTAACATATTTTACCATACCGTGCGCCTATCACTGTATATGACTGTATATCCGTTTGTAGTGATTGTTTGACAGTATATGATCACTATATGCCAGTGTATAGTGACTTATGCTAATGCACAGTGACTGTAAGCAAGTGTATGGTCGCTGTATATCAGTGAATGGTGACTGTATATCCGTTTATAGTGATTGTTTGACAGTATATAATCACTATATGCCAGTGTATAGTGACTTATATCAATGCACAGAGACTGTAAGCAAGTGTATGGTCACTGTATACCAGTGAATGGTCACTGTAAATCAGTGTATCGTAACTGTATGCCAGTATATGATCATCATCATGGCCATTGTATGCCTGTGTATAGTGACTGCATATTTCGCGAAATCGTTTAAACCTTTTCATGCTATTGCATTTTCATCATCATCATATCGGGTTTCCATCTTTATGCAAGCTAGATATACCAAATTATTTGAGTAAAAAGAGGTTATAAGTTTAAGTATAAGTTCAGATTTGAAAGAGCCACGACATTTCAGTACAGACACTTTAAAAAAGGTGCATCACAAGTCCTAGCTATGGGAATAAAAAGTTATAATATCAAATTTATTTTCAAGATCATCATGACAAATTTGATTCAAAATAACTGAGGCATTAATGAATAATAAATGTGTTTCGCATGAATATTTCTTTAGCAACTAGCTGGAGCATAATGGTAACACGCCACTAAATGAGAAGGACCGTTTATTCAAGCCTTGGTTCTTTTTGATTTCCACGTATGCTTATTATCACTGTTCCACAACTGGAATGCTCTAACACCCATAATATTAGAGAATTTTAAAGAAAACGACTTCACTTAGAATGACTCTAACTGAAGTTGATGATCTACGCCATCATGACGTCATCATCAACTTCAGTTAGAGTCATTCTAAGTGAAGCCGTTTTCTTTAAAATTCTCCAATATCGCGGTTGTTTGAGCATTTATTTGTGGTTATTTACCATCGTAGCTTTATTAATTTGCATGGCGAAACATTTGGAATCCAGATTCAACTTATTTTAGCCGAAATCGGAGGTTTATCGAAAACGAAATGATCTCGGCAACCATCTTGAATGAAGCTAACTGCAGTTAGAGTCATCCAGTTGTGGAACAGTGATTATGGAAGTACATAGCTAGTGTGTCCCAACATATTGTGTTGACAGCTGATAACCTGGTCTGCTGCATCTCTGCAATTCCTGGCTACAATTTTGAGGATCATGGGTTTTCTAGAAATTGATTCTAACGGCGTCTGGATCTAGCTAAAACCCTGGAGCAAATTAGCATTGCTAATATCTAGCAAAATCTTATGAATCACCATTTTAAAAAACTACTTTCTCAAAAATATTAAACGAAGTACTATGTCAATGTCTTCGCCATATATCAAAAGCATTTATACTACTTTTTGATGAATTTGATGCAAATCCCCTTAGTGCCTTTGCTAGAAGATGAGTCTTAATTAAATAGACACTCTGCAATTTTCAAAGTATCATAACATGGCAGCTATACATGTGAGGAAATGGTGTGGGGGCTAAACCAAAAGTTAAAAGATTTCGCTGAAATTTGGTCTAAAACATTCTCAAGATCCTTGTTACATAAGACCATGGTCAAATTCATTGACTGATTCACTAAACATGGCATTTTTATTCTGAACTATCACACTTTATAAAGGTTCACATCATCAGGTTACGACCACAATGTTAATAAGAGGAGTTTGAGGAAACTGTAGTTATTTTATACATATGACTTTTTTATGCCAAGTGCTAATGTAAAAAAAGTCACATACATGTATGATTTAAAAAAGTGTATGTAAAAAGAGCTTCTTTATCATAAATATATTTAGTGGTGCGACACCCAATATGTTAATGAGACTCAAGCTGACCTACACACATTCTTGTCCCAGGTAAATACATCGATGCATTCATTGGTTGCATCTTCTTAACCAGGAAGTTAATTCCTTAAAAATTAAACAGCCGGAATTATCAAGTCATTTTGCTGTGAAATTATTATCACATTAATACGTAAGTAAATAGTTTTATACCATTCTGTGATGTAATATAGTGATAAAGGAGATTCTGGGCTAAATAAAATCATTGCTGAAAATGAGGTTTTGTGGTTTTCTTTTTTCTTTGATAAGGTGATTAACTATTTGATATGTTTGTGTCCCATCAGTTTTCCGTCAGTTGGCCCTCGTATTTTTGTTGGACATGTCAAAGGTGGGTGTACACTCTTAATACTCACTAAAGCAAAAAGTGAAATGTAGAAAAGAGTACTCAGGGAGAGCACCCACACACCACCGATGCACCGCAACTCCGGAATCGCAACCAAAGATGGCAGAGCAATTTTTGGGGTTTTGAGTAAGGGATTAGGGTTATCTTGGTTGCTATCCAAGATCGCTACCCAAATAGTAATGAGTAAAAAGACACTCGTGGTTTTAACTAATGGCTACATAACTTGATACTGTAAATTTTTGATGCGTCTTGTCAGTAATGTAAATAGCATAGTCTTATTCTTATCTTTGCCCCTCACGCTTGAAATAATCGAAGCATATCAAATACTCTTTCAGACTATGGATTGCGTTTTGCGGTACTGTCGTCTTAGCTACTATTTTCCAATGAGGCCTGTGCGCATTTTTGAGGAATGGATGTTTGGACACGTCATGCTGACTGTTTATTTCCTCCTATTCTCATCCTGGTTAAATTTCACCAATGATCACGGCAATGAGCTCGCAAAACTCCTGTATGACATCAATATCAACCCAATTGATATCTTGCAGAAATGTCCAACTGTACAGGACATAGTGAACAATCAGAATTGTTTCAATCCTTCTGTCACATCAAATCAAGAGAGAGACCGTACACGTATCCTTGATGCAGTGAACTTTAAAGGAAAACTCATACACTGTGGAATTACTGAAAGAGCCATTCAACAGTGTCTTTTGACGATTTGCAAGTCAATCGAATGCATGGACAGATTGACAAGAGACAACTTGAATATTGAAAGGCTAAAAAGATGTGATGTAACCATGGATATGTTAACGGCATTGACCACAAACCCAGAGACTGATGCTTTCTACAATAAGGCATATATGGACAGTTTAAATTGGACATTTTGGAAAGCCATGTCTGAGTACTCATTTGGAATATTTGGATTTTGTTCGTATGTTTTAGGTTTTGTTATGTGTCAGATAATTTGTCTACATGGTTCAATTGTAGGAAACATCAGACTACTGGAATGTAACAGTAGAACTGTAGAAGATGAAATAATGACGCAGGGAATGGTGAAACAGTCAATTACGGTTCTTGGGATGGGTATGCATATGGCATGGGCTGTTGTATTGTTAATGATATCACTGGCGTGTTATGGTTGGAATAACATTGGCTTCCTTGTCATTTTGAATGTTTGTTTTAAAGCGGAAATTCGTGCCAAAACAATATACATTGAACAATTTGTTCATGTGCTAATATGTGCACTTTGGGTATACAGTTTCCAATGTGTGTATGCTTGGTACATGACTTGTTTGATGGTCTTTGGATTGACAGTATTACAATGTATCTTGATGTTGTCGGAAACATCCATTTCTTTCGAACCATTCTGCTCAATTGATGCAAAAAGACTTTTACAGGTACCTAGTAATAATAATGATGAAAAAATATTCACAGTGATATCAGATATATTGATGTGTACAGAAAACAATGGGTTGTTACTGGATGACGCCATGCGAATGTTATCTTTTGGTATAAAGGCTGCATTTGTTGGAACTTTGGGAAGAACAGAGGGTGATCAATTAGAGTTGATCAGACGTGTGCATCGGTTAGGCAACACATTAATAAATAGCAGATTGTGCAAGTCAATGAGACATGTGAGATTTAAGAATATTAATAGCTCTGAGTTAATTAGTGGCATTATTGTCCCATCCCTAAGACACAATAAGATACAGTCAGTTGAGATCATTAACAACTATGCTCTAACGGATAATTGTGATCTAATATCAGATTCATTGATTGCAGAAAATTACAGTTTGAAGGTCTTAGACATACGATTTGAACGTAAGTCAGGTTTTCAACATATGTTTTACTGGTTATGCTATGGGCCAAGGTCCAATATCAAATTTACATCAAAGGGTGTTAAGGAATTATTACAAGCATGTGTTAAAAGATTGGAAACTGCTCCGTTAGAAGCTGTTGTAATCACCGGTTATACACAAGCATGTGTTAAAAGATTGGAAACTGCTCCGTTAGAAGCTGTTGTAATCACCGGTTATACAACAGCGGACGAAAATATCGAAGATCTCTGTGCACTACTTAGGTCAGAAGGTATTTACGTATTAGTAGAGCCATATAATTAGCTTCTTAATACAAATGCTAACTTAAAGCCCCACTATACTTAATTTAGAAGAAAAAAGAAAAAATGATCATTGAATCATATTACTCACACACTCGCTCAAATATGACACAAAGTTTGATTTGCTTTAATACTAAACCAAAAATATAATAACTCACATAGAAAAAAACATTTGATGTTCAGAGATAATAAGACATGCATGTACATGCTAAACAAAGTGCATGTTTTCAATTACTTTTGATTTAAAAGATGGTGGCACTTCTATAAAAATGAATGTATCATGTAATACAAACAACTTTGCCATCTTTCAATGACATTGATAAAAACTTGACAGATAAAGCTTGACAGATTGAAAATAGTTTTTGATCAATTATTGTAAGCTTTGATGTGGTCTGTTTGAGCTGTTGTTGGTGTCAAATGAAAGATATGGTTTTATCAATACATTGGACATTCTATAGATTTCAAATAAAAGTCTTTATTTTGCCGAAAAAAACATTGAAAATTTGCAAAGTGGGCCTTTAGAGAGAACCCTTCAAGTGATTTGCACAATATAAAATATAGACACTACAGGAGTTACATATTGAGACTGGGAGACATTGTAAACCTGTCCCTTAACCTCTGAATGAGGGGGTTATACTACTTGTAATTGTTGAAATCATGAAGCACACTTCCTCATAAGCTGTTAAAAATTATGGAAATTAAGAGAGTTTAAATGCATGTATATTGAAAATCAGAATTGATTAGAGAATTTTATTCTATTGATTGTGATATTTTCAAAACACTGATGACAACTGAAAATTATTTTAGGGTGTATCAGATCGTATGATATTCTGTATTTTTGTAGATGCAGCTTATTTTTAGTGACTAATGTATCATGTAACTTTTCAATAAAAGATACAAGTTGTGAAGGCTTTATTATGTGGATTTAAAAATTGATATAGATAGATATGTTAGTGTACATCATACTTTATGATACAATGTATTTTTGTAGATGCAGCTATAGATTGTAGTATTTTAGCGACTAGCGTATCATGTAACTTTTCAAAAAACACATATATAAAGTGCTTATAAATTAACCGCAACAAACATATATTTTGTTACTATTTGTTATGCAACAAGCAAGCAACTTACAGCTAAATGAGCATATGAATCATAGAATATATATTACATCTAATTAATGATAGTGATGTCACCGAAGCACATGGTCCTGGGGAGATATTCAATAAAATGCACTAGCACTAGTTACTAACTACAGACCAGTTACTCTTCTTAGTTCAATCTCTAAAATCTTGGAATCTATAATTCATAAAAGACTTTATTCTCACCTCGTCCAACACGATCTTATTTATAGGCTTCAGAGTGGGTTCCTACCCAAACATAGTACTGTCAATCAACTTATTAACCCTTAAATGGTTTTTTGTTTTTTACACCTTCTAAAGGTTTTTGGGGTCCGTTTGGACCCCAAGATATATTTTGCAATTACTTTGCAACCAGAGAAGCTTTTTTCATTCTGACTTCAGTTTGACATAGGTTAATCTATTACCTTTCAGAATATGTATGCATTATTTATCATGAATGCATGGAAATATGTGTAAACCTAATCATAAGGGGTCAGGTGTTTTAGCATTTTGTAACATTTCGTAGCATTTATATATAACACTGTATTAATTGAATATGTTTCAGTGATAGTGATGTTCTTTGGCCTCAGGTAGCACAAAAAGTCATAATGCGATTTACATCTGGTTTGTTTTATCTGAAAGGAATTGAATTAATTGAGGATTAGATTGAATTTAATGTTGATAGAATGATTATTTCTGATATAAGTATTGCAAAGAATGAGCTATGGGGTCCAAACGGACCCCAAAAACCATTTAAGGGTTAATATACAGAGTGGTCCAAAAAAAAATTGGAACATTTGTTAATTGAATGCATATCCTTTATTTTTCTTCTAAAATGTACCAAACTTTTCTTGAGCATAGTTCAGTCACTTATTTATCGGATGTAAAGTTTAGAGGTGAAAACCACAAAGTTAATGCATTAAACTAGTCGATATTTGATATGACCCCTCTTCTCCTGACTTACAAGTTGAAGCTTGGGGCTCAGATTTGTAAATATTCAATTAGTTTGCCGTTCGTTTATTTTGTCCAAGCCATCTTATTTAAAAATTTCAGCTTGATAAACTTCCTATTTGTTTGCCTTGGAAGATCAAATCTAGTAACATATTCAACATTTTTTTACCCAAATTCATGGGATCGTGCATATTTTGATGGCAATTGTTGGGTGTACTATACTGATTGAATATTCTCCAGAAAGAGGACAGGGCACTCTGATTTGAATGGTAAATGAAGCCCCCTCCCCTTTATTGTTTTGATATGAATAATATTCATTGGAAATATCAATATGTCTATCAACATCATAGAGGAGTCTCCCAGAACACAAATGGTATATTATTTATATATATTGTAACGTTTTTCCCGTGGTCAGGAATGCGGGGAAAATGCGGGGAAGATGGACCCTCCCGTGTGTTACTTAATTGCGGGATTATACGGAGCGGCGTTGACTCCGCTCGCTACAGTCGCCTGAGATGTTACTCCAAGGGAATGCAAGGGGAAAGAAAGTATTACGCAATCTGGGTTTGCACTACACAAGTTCCCTCCGGAACTCAATACAATACAACAATGAACATTCAAATACAGAATAAAAATAAAGTCATATATTTGCTCTTTATGAGCCAAACAATCACAAACAATGCTCTAAAAACAATAGACAATTATGTACAAAGTTGAACTCAAACTACACTAAGCTATATAATCACTAATGCCTTAAGGCAGAAAAAATACATGTGATGTTACTTGAAGGTCTCTAAAGTTACTATAAGAAAGTAAGATCAAATCGTGTTTCACTTTAATCAGTTCCACAAAAGATAAAGGTTGATATGACTTGAATGCCTCTAAAGTCTTCTTCAGCAATTGTGGGATGCACCTCTTGTCTTTGTATTCCGTTGTCTGTCCTGAAATAAAATGGCGCTCCTGGCCACGGGACTCAACTGTCAACTAATCACTTTTATTAATGTGCAACCTGGTGCAAGTATCCTTAAATTCCTTTATCTAAGTTGCAATCGGGTGCAACGGTCCTACTCAATGGGTGCAAAAGCCCTTATATTTCCTGATCATAGGTGCAATGTCTCTGTGTTCCCCTGTTCCTAACCAGGGTGCAACTCCTTTATATGCCCTTGTTCCTTAACCAAGGTGCATCTTGCCCCTGTTCCTTAACCAGGGTGCAAGTCCTTTATGTGCCCTTGTTCCTTAACCAAGGTGCACCTTGCCCCTGTTCCTTAACCAGGGTGCAAGTCCTCTATATGCCCTTGTTCCTTAACCAAGGTGCATCTTGCCCCTGTTCCTTAACCAAGTCCTCTATATTCCATTATCCAAGTTGCAATCAGGTGCAAACGTCCTTAAAGCATTTATCCAAGTTATAATCACGTGCAAATGTCCTTAAATCCTTAATCCGAGGTGCAACCGGGTGCAAATGTCCTTATGGGGTGCAACCTGGTGCAAATGTCCTTAAATCCTTAATCCGAGGTGCAACCGGGTGCAAATGTCCTTATGGGGTGCAACCTGGTGCAAATGTGCTTTAATCCTTAATCCGAGGTGCAACCGGGTGCAAATGTCCTATATGGGTGCAACCTGGTGCAAATGTCCTTAAATCCTTAATCCGAGGTGCAACCGGGTGCAAATGTCCTTAAATCCTTAATCCAAGTTGCAATCAGGTGCAAATGTCCTTATGGGGTGCAACCTGGTGCAAGTATACTTAAATCCTTAATCCAAGTTGCAATCAGGTGCAAATGTCCTTATGGGGTGCAACCTGGTGCAAGTATCCTTAAATCCTTAATCCAAGTTGCAATCAGGTGCAAATATCCTTATGGGGTGCAACCTGGTGCAATTATCCTTAAATCCTTAATCCGAGGTGCAACCGGGTGCAAATATCCACTATGGGTGCAATCTGGTGCAAGTATCCTTAAATCCTTATTCCGAATTGCAACCGGGTGCAAATGTCCTTATGGGGTGCAACCTGGTGCAAGTATTCTTAAATCCTTAATCAGAGGTGCAATCGGGTGCAAATATCCACTATGGGTGCAATCGGGTGCAAATATACGCTATGGGTGCAACCTTGTGCAAATGTCCTTAAATCCTTAATCCGAGGTGCAACCGGGTGCAAATGTCCTTATGGGGTGCAACCTGGTGCAAATATCCTTAAATCCTTAATCCGAGGTGCAACCAGGTGCAAATGTCCTTATGGGATGCAACCTGGTGCAAATATCCACTATGGGTGCAATCGGGTGCAAATATACGCTATGGGTGCAACCGGGTGCAAATATCCTTAATCATAGGTGCAATGTCTCTGTGTGCCCCTGTTCCTAACCAGGGTGCAATTCTTCTATATGCCCTTGTTCCTTAACCAAGGTGCATCTTGCCCCTGTTCCTTAACCAGGGTGCAAGTCCTTTTATGTGCCCTTGTTCCTTAACCAAGGTGCACCTTGCCCCTGTCCCTTAACCAGGGTACAAGTCCTTTATATTCCATTATTCAAGTTGCAATCAGGTGCAAACGTCCTTAAATCCTTTATCCAAGTTATAATCAGGTGCAAATGTCCTTATGGGGTGCAACCTGGTGCAAGTATCCTTAAATCCTTAATCCGAGATGCAACCGGGTGCAAATGTCCTTATGGGGTGCAACCTGGTGCAAGTTTCCTTAAATCCTTAATCCGAGATGCAACCGGGTGCAAATGTCCTTATGGGGTGCAACCTGGTGCAAGTATCCTTAAATCCTTAATCCGAGATGTAACCGGGTGCAAATATCCACTATGGGTGCAATCGGGTGCAAATATACGCTATGGGTGCAACCGGGTGCAAATATTCTTAATCATAGGTGCAATGTCTCTGTGTGCCCCTGTTCCTAACCAGGGTGCAATTCCTCTATATGCCCTTGTTCCTTAACCAAGGTGCATCTTGCCCCTGTTCCTTAACCAGGGTGCAAGTCCTTTTATGTGCCCTTGTTCCTTAACCAAGGTGCACCTTGCCCCTGTCCCTTAACCAGGGTGCAAGTCCTTTATATCTCTTATTATACTTTGCACCTATGTCCAGGTTGCAATCATGGGTACAAATGCCCCTTGCACCAATACGGGGTTGCAAGTTGGGTGCAACTCTCCAAAATATCCTTTACACCTAATTCAGATGGTTATCATGGATGCAAATATCCCTTGCACCGATATGGGGTTGCAAGTTGGGTGCAACTCTCCCAAATGACCTTCACACCTGATGCAAATATTCCTTGCACCAATCTGGGGTTGCAAAGTCGGGTGCAACTCTCCCAAATCTCCTGGGGTTGCAAGATTGAGTGCAACTCTCCCAAAAATTCCTTCACACCTATTCCAGGTGGTTGATATGAGTGCAAATATCCCTTGCACCAATATGGGGTTGCAAATTGGGTTGCAACTTTCCCAAATGGTTGATATGGGTGCAAATATTCCTTGCACCGATATGGGGTATGCAAAGTTAATTGCAACTCTCCCAAATGTCCTTCCGTTGATTATTGTAAGTGCAAATATCCCTTGCACCGATATGGGGTTGCAAGTTGGGTGCAACTCTCCCAAATCTCCTGGGGTTGCAAGATTGAGTGCAACTCTCCCAATAGTCCTTCACACCTGGTGCAAATATTCCTTGCACCAATATGGGGTTGCAAGTTAGGTGCAACTCTCCCAAATGTACTTCAGGTGGTTATAATGGGTGCAAATATCCCTTGCACCTATATGGGGTTGCAAGTTGGTTGCAACTCTCCCAAATCTCCTGGGGTTGCAAGATTGAGTGCAACT